CCAAGCAATAAAAGGCACTTCTGTGGTGCTGCCAATGTTCAGTGTTTGTGGGGACTATGAGAAGGAATGATGCTGATTCAACTTTAATGTTTGGGTTGGATTATATTGTCAGGATCTTGTTGTTTATTCTGCCAGAACAGAACTGACATCAGATGCAACAGGTTTTTGGAGGAGTGAAGTAACTTTTAGATGACATGACGCCCTCTTGTGTTAGGTTGAGCTGTGGAGCTTTATAACAAAATGTGCCCCAGTGATTTTGTCACACTGTCCCTGTGAGGGATAACAATCAGGGACAGTATATGACTTGCTGTATGTAAAAAAGGGTAGACTGTAGGCAGTGGAACACATAGTTTAGTTTAGTTTGCTATACTTGTTGTTTTATGCTATTTGTATCCTGATATGGATGCTTTTTACTGCCTCTGTTTTGAAAATCTGTGTTTTATTTTGCTTAGGTCTTACTGTTTTAGTAGTGTTTTTATTAGTTACACATGTTCTGCTGTGAAGCACTCTGCTCCATTGGAGTTGTAAAGTGCTATATAAATAAAGTTTTATTATTGGTATTATTACTATTATACATGTACACTCAAATCCATACATTTAATTATTATTATATAGCTTTCAGTATCATGCATATATGATTTAAAACTTTAAAATGGAAGACATCTTTAGCTCTACTGCCACAAATATATTTGAATATTTCATCTAATTTAATGCCTATCAGTAACCTGTATTTGAAATTAAATGCATAGCCTCGGTTTTTTTGACTTTGCAGCTCCAAAACTACCTAATGGAAAAGACCGTCATCCAGCTGAGTCTGATCAAAGAAAGAGCAACGGCTTATCAAGTGAGCAGCCATGTTACTTCACATATACTTTTCGTTTTCTGAAGTTCATAGATCAAGATCATGTTGTGAAATGCACACTGATAGTGCTTTTTATTTCTTACTGACTTTGCTTTACGACTTGTTTTTCTCCCTGCAGACTGGCTGGTGATCATTTTAGTGATATTGGCGGTTGCTGCTATTCTCCTTGTATGTGCAGTTGTTGCCAAAAGAAAAAGGTATTTGTTGTTATCTTACACTAAAAATGATGTCATGTAACACATTTTGGACATAAACATTCCCCCGTTTCTGTGTCTTGCTATGCGCAGGAAGTAATCATGAGCATTCCAGGTTTCATATATTTGCTGCAGACTGGGGGATAGTAAATGTGTGTGAATGTGCTTTTGCAGCTTGTGCGGCACACGACAGACCCTGGTGATCACAGCAAAGGACGCTGGCGAGGGAAACGGAGCAGCAGCAGCAGCAGCATCCAGCTCCCAAGCCCAGGAGAGAGAGCAGGAGATGGTGAAACTCATGAACAAGGAGAAGATCCAGGAGAACGGCAACACAGAGGAGTTCACCGTCATCAAGCTAGAGGAGTCACCAGACAAAGAACAGCTTGCATGAGAGTTAAGTGTAGCAACAGGGAGCACAAAGTATAGGTGAAGGTAGGAGGGAGAGAGTGGGTAGGTGGATGGGGGAGGGGCTCCTAGGGTTATAACTGCTTTGGTGGCTAGCACTGAATGAACAGTGTAAGTGTGTATGTGTGTGTGTTGTTGTTTAGAAAGATTTTCTAATTGAGGTGCATGCCAACATGTGCAGCATTTTGTTTGTCAGACACATCGGGTCCATCAGGACTCATCAGTGTCATGCATGGTGAGGAATGATGCACTGGTGCATAGCAGGGTGTCTGAATGTCTTTTGTGTTACTTCTTTGTGTTTTTGAGGTTGTGTGCTTTGCTGATGACGGGGCCGAGGAGACGTGGTTTAAAGCAGGGGTCCTCAACCTTTTGTAGCTTAAGGCCCAGTTCTGATTCTTAAAAAAATTCTGAGGAGCACCTTGTCAAATAAACAAGAAACAAAATTATAAAACAATGTATTCAGTGTATCTTTTTAATGTGTCCAGGGTCATATTTCCACAACATACACCTTGGAGCCTTTACTGGCGCAGGGTTGTCTCCCACATCACTTTTTTTTTGCTTCAAAAACTGATCCATTTTGTGTCGCTGTGTCAAAGGAAACATTGACTGCTTACTGTAGCTAGTTAACAGAAGTACAACACGTTTGTCACCCAATGATGTGTCATGAGTAGGTTCTTGATGGTCACATTCACAACCCACCAGAGGGCGCTTTGTGTCCCACTGGTTGGGAGGGAGGGTGGGTGGTGAGGGTCTCATTTGTGAAGAACTGATTACTTATTGGCTTCTTTTTATATGATTGCTGAAACATAAAATTATGAAAGCTTATTTAAAAACAATCATTAAAAAAACAACTCTTGGTATTTTCTATGTGTATGATTTTTTTTTTCATTTGTTTGCTGTAACCTTGTGTATATTTTAGACATCACCTGGGGACTGGAGTTTGTTTTTCTTACATTTTAAAGAAAACTGGGGATGTCACTTACTTTAACTTATGCAGATTTGATTCCTTTTTTCTTGTTCTCTGTATATAAAGTAATGTATACTGTATGTTTTGGAAATGCCTTAGCAATAGCTGTCAGTGTAAAGTAAAGGAATGCGTCATTTTTGACAGTTATTTAATTAGAAACAGTACCTCTGAGGTAAACAATTGTGAATGGATTTTGCAATAGTCAAAGTGGAGTGGATATCGTATGAATCGACTTAATGTACAGCACACAAAACTGCAATGTATGCACCACTGGAGTTGGGAATATAATAGTATGAAGTCCCTGATATTATTACAAGGTTTGTACACTGTTAGAGAAAAAAAGAATTTGGATTGCATCTATAGCACTTTGATCATTTTTGAATAGACGTTTCAAGCTCAAGTGGCAGCAAGAAAGTGGCTGCTACAACACTGTGTGCTCCTGAGGAGGCCACAATGAATGAAGCATGTGCGCTTTCCCAGGCCTCAGTGTGCCAGTCACCCTGTGCATTCACACTTGTAAACAAAATGCTGCAGTTTTTCTACTTTTTCTTATTGGCAAAATATATCCTACATTGTGTCATATCAATATTATTCCCAGTATTACTGCTCATTTGTTCTGTTACAAGCTGAACTAAATTGTGATTGTGATTTTGTTTGTTCCATGTTCTTCCTGCTTTTACTCTTATATAATTCATTTTCAGGAGAAGCAGCAAATGTATAGGCAAGTTTAGAGAGAACTTAACAAAAGATGTCACTGAAAAACATTTGTAAAGTCATGAATGAAATAAATGTGCATTGAAAGTGATGTGCTGGAATGTGGTGTTCACATTGATTTCTCAGTATGTGGGAAGACATCCCCCTGCCTTGACATGGGGATGTCAAGAGGTTACATTGCCCCCAACCACAAAAGAGGAAGTGAGGTTTCCATGGCGCTAAAGTCGTGATGCCAGAACATGTTAATATGGGAAAGAAGAACTGAGACAAAAATGGTCCTTTTGAAAGATCTTTTCATATAGTGTTAAACTGTGTGCAGCATAGTCAAACTGTCTTCACTGACAAAGGAGCACATTTACTTCTTATTTAATATGCTCTTACTATACATTGTGTTCAACCATTAAATGCTGTGACAGCGCTGTTTTGGGCATAATGTCGCCATCAACAATGTCTTGTACATAGTAAATTATTTCCGTCTCTGCTCTAGACACATCATTTTGTTGTTAGCTTATTATTTTTTCATGAGCTTGTTAATGCCTTAAAGTTGTTATTTTTTTTGTAATGCAGTGAAACCTAAGGAGCATACAGCATATCAACTAGTAGGAAACATAATTGTGTCTCAAAAATATCTTTTTTGTTGTTTTTGTTTTTAGCTTTAGACCTGTTGTCATAAAAAATCACTTTGACTTAATTTTTCCAAACAAATGTAGAGTTTTTAGTATTTGTAGGTAAAATGATGCATGACAACTGTTGTTTGCTCAGGTAAGGCATGTTTAGATGGTAGTGTTTAAACTAATACATCAGTAATAACTATTTTGTTTAGACTGTATGGGAGTCAAAATGCATTTGTGTGTGTGTATGGGTGGGGGACATATGTGCATATATGTGTTTATATGACAGTTATGTGACAAAACATCAAAAAAAGCCAATATTTAGTTATGAATCAACATTTATTAGTTATATTTGTATATGTACACCAAAGGTACAACACTTAATGATATGTAGAAACAGATTTTTCTTCTGTATACCATAAACCAAGGAAAGAATTCATGTTTTTTGTCTTTTTTTTTCCTCAATAGTATATCTCCCCCACACATACGCTCTGTCTTTACATCAAAATTACAACAGCTTTACAAAGAGGGAAGGCCTAGAAAAGTAAGATCAGGAAAGCATAGTGTAGGCAGGAGTGAGACAGATTATCAGATCTTTTTAGGAGCTTTTTCAAAAGCACACATACACCAATCAATTTCCATGTCGTCAGTACCATTTACACAGCAAGTTCCAGGTGTTTGTGTGTGCATATAGTTTTTGTGTAGAAAACAAAAGAGGTAAGTGGAGTAAAGGCAGTATACAGAGTGGGATTCAGTGACCTCTGTGGCGTTGGTGCCATGACAGAGTTAGGTGATATGTGCAAACATGCGGCCAACACAGAATCTAAAAGATCTGGATGTCCATGATTTTTCACTTTAAATGCACAAGGTAAATAAAGACGTCTGAGACTAAAACCAGTTTTCTCCACTGGTTCAGATGAGTCACCTGAGGAATGTTGCTTAATACTGTAGCAGGCATTTGAATACATCTGATATTTGTTCTTTCTCTCAATCCAACCACTGGGCTGTCTCTGATTTCTCACTCTATCCTACTTATAGGGAAAACTTCAGCTTCTCACTGTCTCTCTCTCTCTTCTTCAATGTATCACAGTAATTCCCAGCAAAATAACTAATGTTGGCCCCCTACCAAACGTCCCTTTGCTTTTTTTCTTTCTTTCACTTCTTCATGCAGACAGTATTGGCTACAGAATCACTGTAATTTCTGGAACATTCTGCGTTGCCACTGAACAGAACAGTTATACTGTATATTTATTTATGTACAGTGAAAATGAATGCACACTGATTACTGTATATCTTCATGGAACGAACATTCAGAATGCTTACATTAGAATAAAAAAGATATTTATATATTGGAGTGTGACTGGTAAGTAAAACAACAAGCTAACAGCTATTAGGGAATAAAAAACAAGCAATTTATGCCACAATTTCCTTTCTATACCTTTTGTCTACTCTATTTTTACTCAGAACAGATGATATAATTTCTTTTCTAGAGGATTACATTAAAAATGTCACACAATGAAACTATACTCCTACATTTCATTTCAATGCCCCCGAAAAGACAACAAAAAGGAACAAAACAAGCAAAGAACCAATCTGTTACCTACAATATATACACAAAGTGCAAGGAGGCACTTCAAAATATCATGCTTTTAAGATAGTGGTGCAAAAAAATAATCTCATTTTATTTTATTCATGCTTCTAAAACCATGAGTTTGAACATAATAGTGGTTCAACACTCAATCCCCATTGGTGACATGGTCTGCATTCTCTCCTCACTGGAACGATTTCTTCCTGAAGATCACAAGGTCGAAAGGTCAGGCTCACAAGGCCTGGCCCGGTTGTCAGTGCTGTTTCAGATCGTAATTCTAAACATAATGATCTTCAAGGTTTAAATGTTTGGCATGGGTCTATATGTGTGCATTTAAAAAGTATGAGAATATGTCTGTGTCTATGAACATGTGAGAGGGTGTGTGCATGCTTGATTTAGTGTGTATGGTTGTGTGTCATCAGTTTGTGCAGTGAAAGATGCTGGAAGTGTGTTTCAGGAACTAAAGGACAGTCTAAGCACTAAATGTTTTGTTAACTTGTGTTATTTTAATTGGCATCTGTTGTTTGCATCTGTCTTAAGAGAACATCTTCAAGGCAAGGTTGTCAAACACAAATCAAAGTAATTAGACAAGAGAGAAGGACACAATACTGATGAATAAAAAATCAAATCCACACTGACATCACAGAAATCTCACCTCTCACTCACACAGGCTAAAAAAGATTAACAGCCAGTAGTCCAGCTCTGTTTGTATGTTTGTGAATCTTTTTAAAGCCATTTGGTTCTATGAGAGGAATATACATATATAAACTGTATATTTTACCTGATCGTTGGCAACATTCTGGTATAATGCATCATATGTGTCCCTTGTTCTGTTCTTAGTTTTTTTTGCCAAAATGGACACACAGCTGCAGCATCCAGGGTTTGTAGAAACAGTCATGAGCTCTGGTGGCTAAAATATATTCTTCACATTTTTAGGTTTGGCTGAACAAAAAGCTGGCAAGCCTATCCAAGGAGTGTTTTATAAATTATCTGTCTCTGTTTATGCGAGCTAAGAATCCAACTGACAGCCGAGCACCCCTTCTTCGCCCTTGTCTTTTTAAAGGGTTTTTCTGGTAGTTTGCCTTGTGTACTTTTTCAGTGTTCAATAATGGCCACGTCTGTGATTTCAGATAGTCCACAAAGTCAGGATCATTCAACAGCTGGCATGTGGACTGAATAAGTGTGTGTGTGCTGTCATATTATCACATCATACAAGTTTTTTTCAACAAAGACCTTTGCAACTTTCCACAGATGTGCAGTTAAGAGGCCATTTTCTTAAGATGAAAAGCTCTAGTTGGAGCAAGTAAACATTTTAAGATTACATTTTCCCCTATAAAGGAGTAAACATGAAAGCCTGAGAATCTTAATGTGTGTTTTTTATTTTTTATTTGACACACTTATAGTCAGTGTCGACATGGAACAATAATGTGCATGACATAGTGATTATGCCACTGACTTATCATTATCTTCACTGGCATTTGTGCTCTGTCGATTTGTTTGTGCTCTATATATTTGGTGCAACAGTTTTTTTTTTCCAGATAGGTCAATTATTTATTATTGTTTATCATCATAATAATTATGTTGATGCTAATTTAATTTAAATTTCAGTGCATCACAAAGTTATTTTTGGTAAAAGGGAGAGTATTGTAAAAAGCTTCATATTTAGGGCAGTGATTTTTTTTTTTTTTTTGCTTAAGTTTAGAAGTTTTATCAGAAGAAAGTGGTAACATCAAGCAACTGTACCAGAGTTAGAATGGAAGAAAACTTAAAAATGCATTGTGTGTCATGAAGGCAGTTTTCTGCCTGTTTGGTCCCTATAACTGACTTCTTAACCCTCTCGCTCTCTGTCACACATGCAAACACACACACAGAAATGTTTCTAACCCACTCAGCTGGTGACACAAAGAAAAAAAAGTCCCTTTTCATAACAGTAGTTTAAAAAAGAAAAGTAACGGGGATAAAAAAAAAAAGAGGCTTGTGGTAGTGGATGTTATTCTGCTGGATTTGTGCTTATAACTTCTACGGTGACGGTGCTTGTAGGCTATAAGGCTCGGCATGGTTTTCCTATTCGTTATTGATCTTTCTGCTACGCATCAGTTTGCTGGACCTCTGGGACAGTGGGCAACATTGGGCCAACGCAGTCTGATGCACTTCAAAGGCTCTAGCAGCTAAGAGATGTTTTTAGATGAGAGACTGAGCTGAAGAGGAAAAGCAGTGGCCTTGTCACACATTCTGTATGTGGCCGTACTGGCAGGGAAGTTCAGCTCAAACATTACATCGCTTGCCATGGTGAATGCTTGAACTCTTGCTCATCCCCTCACACTGGAAAAATGAATCACCTGCATGAAACCTGTCCTCTCATCTTATAATATAGAACCAGGACATAATGCTAAGAACAGCTTATCTAACATTTTTTCTCTTCCTTCCTTCTCCAAGACTTGAAGTACATTGTGCAAGTATCTGCAATATACTGTAGGACATAACTGTGCTCTAACAGGTAAAGAATCAGAATCAGAAGTATACCTCTGTTATTGTTTCACGGTTAAGTGAATTAGTATTATATATCAGTCAGATAGACAGTTACAAAAACTTTTAAAGGGACTAATAAAAAGCTAAACTACATAAAAAAACTTAGTAGTTCTGTTTGTGTGACCTTTTTTCATTCATTCTTTTTTTTATCACCAGATATGAAAGCTTGTGGAGCCCAGGAGCAGGGGATCTCTGTGCTGCCATTATTCATGTTTCCATGGTTCCTCTTCAACAAGCGTGCACTCCGCAGCAGATCCGTTAGTGGCTGAGGTTACCTGCAAGCAGTTAGCATGGAGATCTAAGCAGTGGATCCAAGGCACAGATTCAAAAGTGACAGTTCATTTCTTAATAAAAGCTGGCTTGAACAACTTTAAATGACAGTGCATGGTTTGATCCAGTGCTCTCACCTATCAGTTTCAGTCTGACTGGTCAGTCAAGACATATAAGGGTTATAAAGCATGGCTGACCATGAATAATTGCTTGCTATGCCATCAGAAATGTTACTTTACTCCAATATACCCTGAAAATACACACCTGTAAACATATTTATTACTGCGTGCTCTAGTGATTTTACTTTGGCAATTAATACATAGCCTGTTAGCTATTGTAGCTATTTTATAATGTGCAAAAACTTTGGAGAAATACTGGAACTCCTGGATGACTACTGATGATCATGCCTATGGAAGTCCTAGGAGCAGAGTTTCATTTACTGACCTGCAAACAGATCACACATTTATGATGACCAAAAACTCACCAAGCAGTAAAAAAAATAAAATAAAATAAAATAATAATACACATGAATAAATTATACATGCAAAAAAGACAGATTACATAGAAAACAAGGTACAAACTACAGAATGAATGCAATGTTTTTTGCTGTTTTGCAAGCACTAGCCAGTGGTTAGCATCTTTGAAAAATGGGGTTAGAAATGTAAATAAATCTATTTACTGGCCAACAGAACAGAAAACAATTAGTCATGGTGGATTCTGGAACTAGCAAGCCTTTGTGTCACATTTTGATGTAAATGCCTGTTAATAAATGGAGACTCAGAAAGGAGGATGTAACTTTTTACTCTGGACAGAGTGCTTGTGTGACAGGTTGCCGGTGTTGCTAGGCAACACTTTTCATCCCGTAATAAATGAATCGGCTCATCAATAAACCTTTTCCGCCAGGGAAAAAGCACTCTGAACTCCCATATATTAGCCTAAAAAGCCTGGGATACAAAAATGGGATTCAAAGTGTATTATGTTTTATATTATGGAAACCTTTCTGCAGCTTTCAATTTCACAACACAGTTCTCACAATGAGCATAAATAGATGGTGTCAAAATGCAAAAAAAATAAAAATAAATAAATAAAACTCTGCCTGGGAATAAGTCAGTGACAGGATGTAAGGAATATATGAACTGCTAATAAGCGCCAACACTTTCTTTGCCTGCATTTTAAAAATAATCACTGCTTCAAAAACAAAGATTTAAAATGAGCTACATTTTAAGATAAAGCTGAACATTAAGCTGAACAAAAAAGAAATGATCTAAAATGATCACAGTGAAAGGAAACCATTTTTTTTGGTAAGTGGATATAACTTTTGATATATAGGAAGGCTGCTAAACAATTCCTCAGGGTCATAATGAGGATTATCTGGAGCTGCCTTTGGAGTTAAAGCCGGTCCTCAACAAGTTACAGTCATCAGGATAACTACAGTACAAAAAGTGATCCATTCATTTACATATGGTGAACTTAATAATTTTTTTTTGTTTGTTTTATTCTGAAAAGCCTTCTGGATTAAGCACTTTAAAATTTTATATGTTGACAACACAGAAGCTGCAATTCCAGAAAAATGAAATACTGTACATACTCGACATGTGTCTGTTGTTCTTTTGCTTTCCTTCTGTATAAATAATAGTGGGTGCATTTACATTATTATGTACAAAGATGCAAAACAGACAAACAGAGTCAAGCAAAGCTGCAGGGTAAGCATGCAACAACAGAAAGGGTTATATGGAAGTCTCTATGTCTGTAAGTATTAATTGTACCTTGCATTCATCTACTATGACAGAATTGTTAGCTGTGGAGGTAGTGGCTGTGGTAGCGGTTAAGACGCACTGGTTGGAATTGTTTTCGTGGTGGTTCTTCATGTCGTCGTAATAAGACTGGGTCTTCGTCATCATTTCGATGTCATCAGACTTAGCCATGTGCGCGTCCAGCTCATCAAGCTCCGCCTTGGACAAGTGGTACACGATGCCTGCACCGTAAGAGTCACCCACCACATTCACTGAGGTCCTGAATCGATCCCTGAGAAGAGGCAAATTAGGATTATTTAATTAGGAAAATACTAAGAGGGATTTGTAGATGTGCAGAAAACAATGTAGAAATAAAGGGAAGATTCATTGTGTAAACACTCTATATATTTTTGTCTTGGAAAACTCACAGCAGCCAGTCGACAGCAACCAGCAGGCTGATGTCTTGGGTTGGCAGGCCTACAGCAGTCAGGATCAACAGCATAGTAACCAGGCCAGCACTGGGAATACTGGCTGCTCCAACACTGGCCAGGGTGGCTGTCAAACTGGGTGAATACACACAAAAGCAACACATGTGTCTCCAAACTCTGTTGACCTCACCACAGCTCGAGACACATATGAACATGAAATTGCTGCATCTCATAGCCACAGGTAAAAACATTTATTCTGAATGGTGCTTGTGTAAAGAGCAGCCGACCAAGAGCACCAGAGTGGGTCCTCCATCGCACATGAAGAGAGGATTAAATGTGAACTGATATGTCATAAAATGTCATGTTGAAGGTCATCTATCCTCACATCACTCTATTATCAAAAGAGCATTTAGAGATGGTAGTTACAGATACTCGAGAAGCAGTGAGTAGATTGGATGTACCTTGTCTCTCAGAATGACATACGGCACTGGCACATGTTTCCTCCTAATGGTTTAGTTGCTCCACTGTAAATTTTACTTGTACAGTTTCTGTTTTGAGCAACAGAGACTTTTCTATTCGCTGTCAAATCCTTCTCCGCTGCTGCCGTGCTTGTTCTCTTTTAAACAATCTTTAAATAGTGGACATTACAGTTCATGCTTTTATGACTAAGAATAGCTTTTTCCTGAACCCCAGTCTGACTTTTAGGGAAGACAGTGATTTGAGAATCATATTTGCATACTGGAGCAGACTGCCAATGCATCAGTTCCCAGAATTCATGTTGATATTTCATTCAAAACCAGTGAATCCTACATCACACAGGGCATTCAGTTCTTCCATCTGTCCAGAGACAATAAACTGCTTGCAGTTATGGTTACATTTCTCACCACATCATTTTTGAGTGTTTCCTGACCTGACAGTGACAATCTGACCCGGGTCAAGAACGACACCGTTCATTTGGGCAATGAAGATGGCTGCAACAGCCTCATACAAAGCAGTTCCATCCATGTTGATTGTGGCACCAACTGGAAGCACAAAACGAGTGACTCTTTTGTCAATACCCAAGTTCTCTTCCAGACAACGGAAGGTGACAGGCAGTGTACCAGCACTGGTGGAAAAAGCAGGAGAAGCTTAGTCAGACTTTGGTATCAGTTATTTAAATATTAAGAAGCCTCCATCCATCTATCCTTGATGCTGACCTGGAGGCTGTCCCCAGAGCAGTGATCCAGGCCTGGAAGATGCCCAAGAAGAAGGTGAAGGGGTTTTTCCTGACGATAATAAAGTAGATGCTAGGCAGGAAGATTGCCCCGTGGATGATGAGGCCAACAATCACAGTCACCATGTACATGCCCAGCTGCCTGGCCACCACCTCCAGATCCTTGATGGAGATGATCTTACCACAGATCAGACAGGCAATACCAAAGGGAGAGTACCTGATGAGATGAAAAAGCTGTTATTAGTAATGTGCAGAGGATATGTCAGACTGCTTTAAATAGATATAATCTCTTTAAATGTTATGATCACATGAAAAATAACTCGGCATAAACAGCTATACCAACCACATGATCATGATGACAAGTTTCATCACAATCTCATTGAGGATGTTGAAGAAGTCGATCATGAGTCTGGCCTTGTCTCCCATCTTGCCCATGCAGATGCCAAATGCAATAAAGAAACCAATCACACCTGTGACAGAAAATCATAAAGTTCTCAGGTTTTAAATACCAGTGTGGACAGCTGAGATGACTACTGCATGAGTGGGTTAAATTAGAAGATGGGAAGTTTTACATTTACAACCAAAAACATAAGGTTTTCCCAGATGTTAGCTTTGGTCAAATTCTGTAAATGTAATACCAAAAACATTGCTTTTAGTCTTGCCACTAGCATGGCTGTAGAGATAGCAATGTTGGCTGGCCAGTCCACCACTTTGGTCCAGACTGAAATGTCTCAATTGTTGGATGAATTCCCATGATGTTTTGCTATAGATATTTGCAGTGCCTTGAGAATCCTAGACAAGTATGCCCCCTTTATGATTAATTATAATAACATTGCTGTTTCCATAACTTTTCATGCTCACCAGATTAATGACATTCCCATTATTACCAATTGTATTGTAGTGTCACAGAGCCATTAGCATGGCTGTAGAATCTTATCTTGTTTATTGTTAATAATCCATATGCTGTGAGTTTTTTTTCCCCCTGTTGGAACAAATTTCACATACCCAGAACATTCATGCCACTTTTGTACTGCAGGGACTTTTTGATGACATACTGAGGTTCCATGGTAATGTTAGCCACCAGCCCTTCCACAGCGGTGGCATTGATGTCCTCCTCAACAACCACCTCCACCTTCTTGGTAACCGTCTGGATCTGAGGTCACAAAGGAAAGGTCGGTGATGAGCTGGGCCAGTTAGGTATTAAATGCCACTCAAATGACAATTGGAAAATCTGCTTCTTTACAGACAGCAGAGTAGGCGCTACATATCATATTACCGTATTTTAATAAATCAATGTGCATCTGAATTGTTTTGTACAAGCATATGCAGTTCCAAACATACAAGCTTAGTTTTTTTGTCAATCTAGTGGCAAAAGTTATTTTGCTACAAATGATATTCTATATTATTCCATATTATTCCACATTCTCAACAGATTTAATTTGAGATATATCTCAGACAGTCTTTTTAATCATCCAACATCTGCACTGATAATTATACTTCAACATTTACCTGATGTAGTTATTTTTCCCAAATTACCTGTTGGAAACAAGCCTGCACCAGGTTCTCTGGGAACAGGTTCCTGATAAGATCAAAGAAGGCATCTAAGCTGGACACATCGTCATTTTTCTCGCCCTCGCCTAAGCCCTCCTTCAATTTGGGGTTGCCAGGGTGGATGACTAACACCAGGATGACTCCGAGGACAGCAGCAATAACCGTGGTGGTCATATAGTAGACCATAGCTCTGGTGCCCAGGCGACCACTAGATTTGGCATCCAAACCGGCCAGACCTGCAGCAGAAGCCAATGAGCTCATGTTTACCTGGTAATTACTGTACTTATTAAGTGGAAATGATGACTTTATGCTGCCAGACATTAAGGCTGAATGTAAAGACCTTTAGAACATTGCAAAATGTTTGCATGATGCTTGGCTTTTTTAATCAATTGAAATGCTGTCAATTATAATTTCAGAAAGGGAATTACAGTAATAATCAATGTTCTTGGAACAATTTGTTGTATTCACCCTAACTGACCAGTCACACTGCACCTGTGATTAAACTAGAGATGATGAGTGGCAGGATCAGCATCTTCAGCATCCTCATCAGGATGTCTCCAGGAAAAGCAATCACCATGACGACATCTGGGTGGATTGGGGCAGCAACACGAAGCAACATCCCCGCTACAGCTCCCAAGATCACACCTGAAGTGCAAGGAGTGTGAGTAAGTGAAACTGCAACAGCAGATAATGGCAAAGGAGAAGAGAATCTAAAATGAAGGTAGATATTGAAAAGTCAGAGAAATAAAATTCACATTTGAATAAAACTTCTTATGGGATATTCTGTGCTAATGAGAAAAGCCTAAAAATAATCTATGAAGTAACAAACAAGCTACAGTGTTTTCCTCCTAAATGCTGCCTTAAAGCTGACCCCTGCCTTGTCAATACACTTGTTTGAATTTGTACAAGAGGCCATCACCTAGATGCTTAGGGAGGACAGTGGGCTGAGGAGATAAAACAGAAATCTGCTAAGAGAAAGTAAAGCTTCAAATCTCTTTGAAGCAGCGTGGAGGAGTCACCATCCCCCGGTGCAGCACCTGTAATCTCTGCAAACCCAAAATGCTTTGTGGTCTGGAAAGTAAAAATGACAAATACTAGCATTCAATAAAGAGAGAAAAGCAATTCAGTCGACCCTAATCTTGGGCTCAACTTGTGCATTACTGAAATGTTCTGCTATCTAGTGAGTTTTTTTCTCCTTGCCTATCTTGTATTTCTTTTATAGAAGCCTGAAAACAGTGACATTTGAAAGAACAGCTCCTCTCAAACAAATTCTTCTTTGACCTTTGACATTTGTTTTTTCCAAATAACAGTGCTTTTCCTGCCACATCTTCTGTTCCGAAGATGACCTCTGTTTGCTCTAATCCCCACTGCACCCATACCTACAGCACCCGTCTGTTGGCTTGTGTATCTGTCTGTTGCAGGCCAGATAACCCCACCCCCCACCCCCACCCGGAGCTGCACTTCCTCTACTACCAGACCATTGCCAAAGACCACACAGCCTGCAACGCTGTTTAATAACACACACTGGAATCAAAAGCTCTCCATCTTTCTTAAAAGAAATTGTAATCTGTCCTCTGTTCTTCAATCTTTCCTCCAGTGTAGCAGCATCCTGCAGATTCTGCACACCCATCTGTTTTGGATGGCACTAGATTTCCTGAGCCTTCCCTTTGTCTCATTTGTTAGTTCCTGTTCAGGCTCCTGTCTGCCAAGTCACAGATCTTCAGTGATCACACTGTCTCATTTGCTTTGGGAGAGTGATGCCAAGTGAGGTGAAATGTACACATCACACATGCAAACACGCATGTAAGCAGGATACAGACAGACACATGACATATATGCATTTATACTGTTCTCAGGCCTATGATTATAAAATGGTAGGTTTGGGATGGATCACCTAGCTGTCAGACACAACAAGCTAGAAATAATATGCGCTGGTTAAACACCAATCTAATTTAAGGCCTATGGCCAGAAATCGTATCACTATTTTCATGCCCTTTCCTCTTTTCATTAAGCCTCCCCCCTGTGGCGCAGTGAGCCAGTGCTATAATCAGTTTTTTTAATGCACCGCCAGAGGTTGTCTGGGTGTCCAGTGTCACAGAAAGCTTTTGATAGCAACAGGTGGCACAGAGCTGGGGAAGGTCGAGAGATGCAGTCATCATACTGTCTGGTACATGGAGGGAGTGCAGATGGCCTCTCCTGCTTATATTACAAACAAGCTGCATCCTTGAGCTTTGAGCTAACAGAATGCTGAGCTCAGTGGTGGTTAGTGCCTGTCTTCATTTCTTAAAGAAATTAGGAAGAAAACAAAGGAATAAGTAACTTACCCAGTACGGTGAGTGTGAGCAGAAGGTTCTTGAACATTTTGGAGCAGAGTTTGGCACATCTGGACTGAGGCCTGGGCTCTATGGGCTCCAGGTGACTCTCATGCATCCTCACCTCGACTTGTTTAGGCATACTGTTGGCACTGTGACAGGGGAGAAGAAAAAATCAAAACAGCTACTTACTAAATGCAAAACCATCAAGCTGAATCTACTCAAAAACACACTCTTGGCCATAAAACATTAGTACATCATGTGATCAAATCATTATGTTTTATCCAAAAAATAATACAGCAGTATAATATAGGAAATCAGATGTTTTGGATATCTCCGAAACCTAATGAAAAATGTCAAGCATTCAAGTGTGTTGCCAGTCTGTCACTCCAAAACTGTTCACAGATGGAAACTGACTGCAAGATGCTGCTTTTAAATTTACAGTCCTTTTGGGCAATGCCTCAAGTCAGTTTACTGAGAAGTGCATTTTTAGTACAAATATATGAAAAACATGAGCTCTGTATATTGATACAATTGCAATAATTGTCTGGATTTTTGGACAAATTTACAGGCATGTCTACATTATGTAATTTAACCTTCAGGATAGGTTTACAATGCATAAAGGAATTATACTGATAAACTATATTATGAAACAGCAATCTGAAAAGACCTATTATGTGCGTAACACATACAGACAACAGTGAAGCAGTATGAAAATTTGAACAAACTGAGTTTCACACCCACAAAACTGAGCACACATTAAAATTCAAAATATTGTCTTACATAATTTGTATGTTTAATTATTTCTGATATTAGAAGGCTCACACCAAAGACAGTCTCTGATGAGTGTCTTTGGATATCTTGTTTACGATGAGAGAAAAAAATTAAACAATGCCATCTTGATAGTACAAAAACTGATTAATGAATTGCAGAGGGGAGGAGCAAGACTTCTCCACACTCATACATACACTCTCATGATTGGGTGAAACTAAATTTATAATCACACAAAGCCTCAAATAAAAAGGTAGGAAGAGGGGGCTTGGTTCCGCAGCTCAATTAACTGAATAAAAAGTGATTTTCCATCTCAGGTGTGTCAGAGCAGTGTCCTGCAGTCCCATCGAGGTGTGAGTGAGGTTGTCAGTGAGACTGGAGCCAGCTGAGTCTGTCACATGCAATGTTAGGGAGTCGTTCAATTACTCTGTGACAGAAAGTGACTGAAAATGGCAACGAAAAGGAAGAGATACAGTCCCTAACAAGTTGCAGGAATCATTTATTAAGGTGTCTTGCTTGGTTTGACATATTTTTTGTCTGTGAGAAAACAAAAAAGTCTCTATGTTGCCATTCATCTCCAGGAAAATGTCTGCTGTGATAGAAAACAAATAACGGCAAAGAAAAACTCATGTAACTCTGACCTCCCACCTCAAGCCCCTAGCAGCCTAAAATTCAGAAAAGGAAGCCTGAGAGGTAAAGTCAGTTTTTTGGTCCTCATTCCCTCCCCGCCATAGTCCGCCATGAAGTCAGAGAATGTAATAGATATTAATCATGTTGGCTGTCAAGTTTTTCTTCTCAAAGCTGAAACGTGATCAAAGCAAAACAGGGAGCTCAAATCAACGGGCCACAGTGGCTGGACTTTCTCATAAACAAAGGCTCTTTATGGTGTTTTTGTTGTTGTGTAACTGGTATCTAATAATTCCACATGAGAACACACACACACACAGACTCACAGATTTACACACACTTCCCCCAGCGTTGTATATTCCTTTGCTGTAAACTTGGCTATAGAACAACCACCTGGTCAGCGCCAGGCGCACAGATGGACCTATGTCCGGCACCTACCAATACGTTCTACCTTGGCATTATTTCTTACTTAAAATAAAAGCTGGGTGAATTAGTAAAATACCCCAAAATAAAATTCTGCAAAATTAGCTTCTTCATGTTGTCCCATTCCAAAAAAGGGATGAGTGCTAGTCACTGATTTCACCCCTTTTCTCTCCCTTTTAATATTTTTAGCACCAAGAGAGTGGGCGAAAGAAGACGCTGGATGCAGCTATTGAATAATCTTTTCCCATCCATATGAAATAAACTGCTTTTTATGTCACAAAATACCTTTGCTGGATGAAAACTTCTCCTTATTGTACCTATTATTAACACATGTGCCTAGGATTAATTTTCTTGGAGAAGAAAATGATTAATTATGAAACATTTAATCCTCAGCTTTGAAGCATCCAGTGACTTCAACAGCTCTGAGCCACTTCTTTTACAAACGATGAACACAAAAAATGTTACTAAGATTTTAACAGGAACTCATAAAGGAGGTTATTTAACTGTAATTGGATTTGATAAAAGAAAGTCTAGCAAAACTTCATGATTCAGAGGTTAAAACATTTACACAGACACCCACAGAGGCACAAATGCATATGCAGTTTCTTTTCCTCTGTCTCCAATCTTTAATAATAGGTTCATCTTAATAAATGGTTAATTGTGGCTGAGAGCTTTGTCAGATTAATATCATTACAGGTCTATAAAGCCACAAAAAAGTAAAGATAAATAAATTCAGATTTAAATTGTGGCATACAGTCTAAACTAAAAGATGTTAAAATCCTCCAGAATTACAATTCACTTTTTCATTTATGCACTAGAGAAATTAGAGAAATCCATTCATATTTTCTGTTAATGCACTCAAATCAAGTGCTTGTCTTACAAAATTATTATGTGAGTGAAGTAAATGAACATAAAAAAGAAAAGGCCTAAGATTAGTTTTAGAACTGCAAATGATGTGCATAATACTTACTTCATTTCTGGTGGAGTTGAGGTAAGTGCTATATACATTGGCCAGGGTCAAATTGCCAGCCTTTGGTAATTAGGAGTGAATTAGCACAAGAAACCTTCAGTAGAGTCACAACTGCTCCATCCAAAAATGTTCCCAGTTGTCAGCAAACAAGATCCCATGTACAGCTGGAGGCTGCAGACACCGGCACTCTGCTGACAGAGGGCAGCTCTCAGCTGTCCACCAGTTTATCCAAAGCATCCAGAGAAGAGTCAACACAGCCAGGACCACAAAGCCAGTCACAGCCTCAGCAACCTGAATTGCCCCTTTCCTGATGTCTGTGAACCCCCATCAGCACCCACCCCCTGACTCCACCACCACCCACAACCAGTTACCCACCAGGATACCCACACAGACACACACATCCAAACAAACCTAGATATAAAACTATAAGGAAGAAGTGGAATGAGGCGTGAGCATCTGAGCTTAAGAGTCAAACCCCTCAGGGACCCTCCATTCCCTGGACACTGTAATCCCCCCAGATAACATGCTCCCAGACTCACCCAGCTACATAGGATGATGACGGAAAGGCAGCTGGAGTATGATCATACTGCTAATGGCACAATGCGGACTGTAGTGCTTTTATATGGAGCTTTTGCTGAGAAAGGAGAAAATGAAAAGGGAATCACGGATGGAAGATTTAATATCTACGCCATTGCCATTTTGGGACTTTGAGGTCATGCTGATGGACATCAGAGGAGAGATTAATGTTTCTGTAGTTATACTGTAACATCTTATGTCACTGCTGAGCCCCAGTGATCCAAGAGTGTCCAGTGTAATAGATATACAGGGTATAATCCAGTATGCCCTTGGTAACCCCAATAAGTTATTGCTTAGAAAGGGAATTTAATTGCAAAATATGGGGAAAAAATCTATTAAGATACTGGCAAAATAAGGCCTAATGTTCACACACGCCAACATACAGATTTACATACAGTATCCCCACTATTCAGTAAAAGTCCAAAGCACAAACGACCAACGTGATTCATGTGAGGGGAGCGTCACGCTGATTTCCTTCTCGTCTCCCAGCAGCATGAGACTTCACATCGTACTGAGCAGTATCACATTATTCTAATTAGGGAAATGTGTTTGAAGGCTATTTCCTCTTCAAACAAATGACCAACTGCAAAACAAAAGCCAGAGGAATGCCACCTCCATCGGCAAAGGTTGTGTCATGAGAAATCACTCATCTTAAATCCCCTGACATGTCATACTCATTCAAAGGGTTCTGTCTGGGAAAGGGGAGGATTTTCGAAATGAGTCTGAGGGAGTAGGACAGAGAAGAAGGGGTTATGGGGGGGTGTATGAGGGGCACTAGGAGAGAAGGGGATACTGGGGCTACATCAGCCAAAAGAGGGGCCTGTGACGGGAAGGCTGAGGCAGCCATCCCTGCTCTTGGCTAGTACCATGTGAAGCTCTATGCTTCCTCTCTCTTCCTTCTGAAGGGCTTTGTTTCACAAGCAAACAGTGGCAGTGGCCCCAACTCGCTTGGCCAAGCACCACATCCAAACTGGCAGGGGCAAGAAAAGAAGGGATGGGGTTCAAATGGGAGGGGAGTGTAAGGGTATAGCAACAGGCGGGGAGGGCAGTGGGCATGTACAGAATGCCAGTTCTTTCAGGCCACTGATGTCATGCCTGTGCCCACCGTGGGAGAGCAGTGGAGGGACCAAAGCTCCCCTCTTTTTTTCCCCTTCCACAGTCTCTTTTTCCAGGATGAATGAATCTTTCAGAAGCTGCAGCTCATTGTGTCCCATAATCGACGCCGATTATCCTGATTTTATGCTGCCTTCCCAGTGCGAGGAGGTTCCCTGAGTGCTGGCATTGAGGGCCACCGCGATGCAGCAAGGACCACGAGGGGTTGTCCTAGCAACACTGAAGGGAAGGATGAAGGGAAAAGAGGAAGCTCATAGCCAAACACGCACAGCACACAAACACATAGCCTGTGCACATACCACATAAATACAAGGTCTAAAGACTAGCAAACAAACTGATAATTTACATCTTTACCTCACCAAAGACATTTTAATTTTACAGATACATAGGTAATGAAGAATTCAAACTATTAACATTTCACCAGATGCTTTCAAATAGTCCTTCTTTGGTATCTGTTTTGCATAATTAGTGAACTACAATCACATGTTTTGTCACTCAGTGCCACTCTACACAGCATGTGCTTACATAATAATGAACCAGTTTGCCTCAGAAACCAGTTATGTGGTTATATTTGTCTAAGTCAGGCTTTTAGGTTCCATGTGATTGCACAGAGGGAAATGTAAATGAGAATACCAGTTTCCCACTGATGTCTTAAGGGGCCCAGTGCCTGTTCTCATGACTGGAGCATCACAATATACCGTGAGGTAAAGACACCTGGAGCTGGTCCAGGCTCCGGATATATCTGGTCCCTTTGAGCCTCACAGCCACTTGCCATGCAGTGGGAAGAAATGGCCACTACATACCGGCTACTGAGGAACTGTGCAAAAGCCCCCCCCCCCAAATGAAGCTGTCAGCAAACACTTCAAGTTGTGCTGTGCATAGGAAGTGGGAGATAAAGTCCATCATCTGGAGAAAGAGAGGCACTGTCACTCTCAATTATGTATGCGTGGATGGTTGTTGGGATGAAAGCATTCAGTGATAGATATTGATAGAAGGATGTATGGATTATCATGTAAATCTGGTTTATTACATCAGCTGGGGAATCTGCTGCTCTCCAGTAGCTCAGCAAAACACAGAACATCTGTAAAAGCACAGTTTTCTAAGAAACAATATCCCCACAGTGTAGAGGGACCATGGCAAATAAATGCCTTTCCCATGAGGTGGAGGTTGCCCCAGAACTTATTTAACACCAAATACTAAACCTCAATCCAAAAAAAAAAAAGATCTACCAGTTTCTCACTAAGTTCATATCTTGAAGATGGAAAAAATCTGGTCTTATTCTGTATGTGTATTTCATTATCTGCCTCTTTTCTGCAACAGAATCATTTACAGTAAATGTGTGTGTCCACTGTCTATAGCTGTCTATCTTAACAATATGTGTCTCAGCTAGTTCCGGGTCTACTTATCCAGAGCACACAGCACTCTTGGCTGAACCTTGATGTTCCATTCAGCTGTTACTGGCAGTATCTGTGAATGAACCAAACCATTCATCTTCAAGGTTGGATTAATTTAAGACAAAGACCTCAATCAAATGAAGGTGTGCAGAGTCAATGAGTTGTCCTGTTGAAAGCTGTCTCTAACTGCTTCCAAGTGAACCATGAAGTGAAAATGCAGTCTAATGAAAGACTGACACAGAGTCAAAGGAACTACATAATGAATGACGCAGACTTTTAGCTGATAATCACCCAAGTCAATTCCTCACTGCCAGCGACTATTTTGGACTAAACAAAATACTAATCAATTACTGGAGCAGAAATAACACATTCTAAATGACCTAAATATATCCAGTTACAGTCAAATTTCAATTCATCAAAAGGGTAACAGATTTTTTTGCTTTAATGAAGCAAAACAAAGCAAATAATAACACCTCTAAAAGCATGTTGTTAGTATTACATTGTTGGGGTTTGAGAACAGAAAACACTCTTTTTGCCTTCTACAGAATTTACAGCCACTGACATTTATAACAATTAGTTAATAATGAAATATAATAAATAATTAAGTGATAAACTACACAGTGAAACCTGGGTTATTAAAAGCCTGATGCACAGAAACTTGCATTTTTAAAACACTGGTACTGTTACGAATGGTGCCATTACATTCAACATATTATATTCTTATTTTAGTAACAGTTGTAAACACTTTATTCTAAGTATTACCTACAAATAATCTGTTTAATAACCCATTCTTAAGGTGAGGCTGGTCTTGAAGGGTTAACCATTTCAAACAGATATAGGTTCGCAGGGCAGGAATTCAGGACCACGGTCAGTGACACAGCCTCAGCTAAGGTTGGCCTGACTCTCCACAGTCCTGAAGGAGCTGCTTTAACCACAACATACGCAAATGATTGCCACAGTTTTATTAACTGTAGTCAGATGACGATACACACACACACACACACACACACTGACACCTGAGAGCAAATCTTCCTCAATGGAGTTTGTCTTTATGTGTTCTTCCACTAATGACCAATTTCCTTTTCAGCTAAGATTCATGCTGTGCAGCAATATGTAAAATACTTCATGCATCATATTTAACTTCCAAAACACTGCCCCTCCTATTTTACTACTTCTATGGTATTTTTCTTATTATTGCTCATTTTACTTTACAATAAAGGTGCATCAGCATCCTGGAAATGTTTGGCTGAACCATATGTGCCTATCCCTCAGCATCCGCTAAGGTTTCCTTTTGTTTGGCACTTTTTGAGTCCATAATGAGACAGTCATTAGAGTGAGCATCTGGGAATCCTGAGGCTGGTGCTGTAGTCTGTGTAGGTCTCTCAGATGTGACCCAATCTCACTGTAATTATGTGTTAACACCCCATTATCCTGGATTGAATTGGGTGACTCCCATTCATCTAGGATAATATCTGTAGAGAGACTTAATTTGATGGCATCTCATCCAACCACAACTCGCTTCACTGGGTACTCCAGTATAATCATATACTTGTGCCAGTGTCTTTCCTCTCCACCTCCAACTTTAGATTCCCCCCTCTTTCTGTCTCACTCTCTCTCCCTCTCCCTCTCTCTTGTCCCTCAAAGCTGGTACCAAAGAACTTTGTTGCTGCCCATTACCCCCTATCCTCGCTCCCCATCGTTAGCCTAAAGCTGCACAGATGAAAGGTCAGTGAAGGAATGACGATCATCCATAATTATGTGAGATTTCTCTCTGTACAACCTCCTCTGGTAGGTGAGGGGTTACACAACTATCTTTCATCGCTATCATCCTATAGTTGCTTTGTGTTGTATATGAAACGGTGGTACAGTACCATCATAAGCAAACAGAGCTGGCTACAAAGAGCGGCAGCACACTGTTTTTGATGGCTTTTGTCCGATCCCCCCCAGCTCATTAAATCAGCCAGTAAGGTTGGATTGCCCCACCCCCTACTACAACCACCACTGTGGTATGTCTTCTACATTAATGAGAGGGGATAACAGAGGTAGAGAGAGGTGTACAGCAGACAGAGGGAAGGGTGAGAGGGATGAAATGGCAAGAATGCAAGGGTGACGGGGGGTGGCTAATGAAGGTAAGGATGAAAACAAAGGAACGGAATGACTAACACATTAGACAATAAGTGACAGCAGAGAGAAAGGGTTGGACAAAGATGGAGCATGTCTCTAT